GTTATATTTAGTTTATCCTGTAGAAGTTGCCAGTGATAGCTGTCATGAGAGCATTTCAGAAACTATTGTTGATCTTGACTGGCAGTGGCTTCTAAGGTTCAAGGCAGAAATTGTTCCCTCCTCAACTTAGCTGGCCCTAGGACCTTTTCTGAATGCAATGCACAGACTGTGATTCAGAGGAATCTGACTGTTCAGAATTTACTTTGCCTAGATCAGGGGTGTCAAACTCAAGGCCCAGGGGCTGGATCCGGCCTGCAGAATGCTTAGATCTGGCCTGTGGGGCTGTCCTGGAAACAGCGAAGATCCGGCCCACGGTACTTCTGCCAGTGAAAACAGAGCTCGGGAGGGCCGGCAGCAGAAAGCTGTCGCAGCCAAAAACGGAGCTCGGGAGCCATTTTCGCTGGTAGAGTGCTTGGGCCACCACAGGCGCCCCTAACATGAGTGATGTCGAGCTGGCGATGCCCACCCCCGCCATGGCCACCCTAGCCCCCTGAAGTCAAACACAACCCTGATGTGGCCCTCAATGAAATCGAGTTTGACACCCCTGATCTAGATCATTGTTTTGTAATGAAGATGTGTCTGCTAACTGAGGTTGCCCATCAAATGAAGGAAATATCAGAGATATTTTGATTTTCCATGGTAGTTGTAATATGCTGTAGATATATTTTTGGAAACTTATCTAAGCTAAGATGTATTTCCACTACCTATATTTTCTAAAATGTGAAATGATCAAATCCGTCTTTGCAAGTAATAATTTCATTTATGGATTAGGGTAGCATAGCAGTTTATTTTAGGAATAATGACAGACCTCTTTTTGAAAATTCATAATTCTAGAAACAAAATCATAAGAACTGCAGAATTTAATGAAATGACATCTACAGGAGTGTGGAAACATTTGAAAACATGAAAAATATTTTGAAAAAAAGATAATAAATCAGATAAACTTAGACATACTAAATTCAAAAGGAACAAGAGAAAATCATGATTACTTTTATTTTGCATGGCAACAGATATGTTTTAACAATAGAGACAACAAATCCATTCCTTAAATATTCCAAATTTTATACCAAACAAATTTGGGAAAAAGTGAAGAGTAACTAGATACACTACAGCTTACCCAACAAAAAGAAGTTTGCAACAAACCAATTACTGAAAAGGAAATGAAGCAACGCAAAAATTGAAACTGAATAATCTAGGACCAACGTACATAAGACTTTCCAGGAAACTTGTCTGAGGGTTTGATTTGGTTTATATAGTGCACATCTCACAAAAATCAATATAAATATAGTATAAAATGCAACCACACATGCTTCAGCCAAGAGACCAAATCAATTTAAATGTGGCATTACCATTAACTGAGGTAATGAATGATAATCAACAATATTAAAGACTTGGTTCTTCCTGGAAGGAAGCTTTAACTTCTCTGATTTATATGTTGGGGAACTACCTGACACATCCAAGATTGTATAGATCTATTTCAATATTTAATGTAGTTGATAAGCTTTGTATGGCAATACTTGGAAAGAATTGTAAGTGACCTTCTAACTGAATTAATATACTCTGATTGGACTGGATTTGTCTTGAAGAGCTATACAGTTTGAGTGATAATTTTAGATACATTTTGAATGCTATTGACAATATGAATCAGAAAAGTAAGAAAGTGGCCATGATTTTTCTAGATATAGAGAAATCTGAAAAAGATTAACTGTGATATGAACTTTCTTACATAGATAGGCCTATGCCAGGGGTCTGCAACTTTAAACACTCAAAGAGCCATTTGGACACATTTCCCACAGAAAAGAAAACATCGGGAGCCATAAAACTCTTCCCGTGCCTGACTGTTTCTTGAGCAGCCACAAAACCAGCATATGTAGTTCAATTAAACATTCTGTTTTCTTCTGAAACTTTTCTTTTCTTGGATTTATTCATGGTTGGCCTACCAGGGGTTGAAAAGCTCAATAAATCGTGTGCCAGTGGATGTCGCACATTGGTGGTTGTGACGCATATTTTGAGCAACAGGGAGCTGCAGCAGAGGGGTGAAAGAGCCACATGTGGCTCCAGAGCCGCAGGTTGTTGACCCCTGGCCTATGCGATGCCATGTGTTGTATGGATTTATGCCTTCTCTATAGCAATAGCACTTAGACTTATATACCACTCCATAATGCTTTACAGCAGGGGTCCCCAACCTGTGGGCCATGGCCTACTACCAGGCTGTGGCCTCTTGGCCACTGGATTGTGTGAGTGGCTGGTCAGTGCATTCGAAAGTGAACATGCGCACCCCCCCAATTGTGCTACTGTTGCTGCAAGGGTCAGGTGTAGAGGGTCTGCAGGCGTTGCACACACACAGCCCCATTCGTGTGCATGCACACTTGGGTAAAGGCGCCTGACAACCCCCCCCAGGACCTCAACTCACCCAAAAGGGTTGGGGAATTCTGCTTTACAATGTCAGCATATTGCCCACAACAATCTGGGTCCTCATTTTACCGACCTGGGAAGGATGGAAGGCTGAGTCAACCTTTAAAGTTGTAGTTTTAAAAAAATTTCCAAAGTCCCTTTGTTGCATAGCCACTGTTTTAGGCTAGGGGACTTCTAATTACTAATAATGTTCCAAATGTTGTTGCAAGCCTGGGCTGTTGTCACTCACCCAACTTCAAAAAGCTCCATCTTTCTCTGATTTCCTCCAGCACTTTTCTTGCCCGGTTGTCCTAGCTTCGTGGTAGCCACCATGACTGCCGCCCCCCGCCGCTGCATCACAGAGGGTTCCCTCTGACCTCCGAGGAACTTGCCTGTTCCTCTCGGTCGTCCAAGCCGCCCCTCTTCTTCCCCCATCCCTACAAGACGGGTCCGAAGACCCATCGGCGGTGGTTCGGCAGCCAGGGTTTTCGCGGGACTCATCAGAGCCTGCTATTTCCCCTACTGTCTCACCGCGACGTCAAACAAGAAGTCCCGGAAGCCTGAGTCAACCTTGAGCTGGTCAGGATCTAACTCCTGGCTATGGGCAGAGTTAGCCTTCAATACTGCATTCTAACTACTGCTCCATCACCGCTCTTATAGTGGTGTCTTCCCTCTCAAATGAAGTTTACTCCTGAAAACGAGGTGGATCCCATCCAGATGGTATCCCAGAGGGTCTGAAAGACCTGGCTTTTGTCCCAGGTTTTAGGCCATGGTGGTTGGAACCCTTTGCAGACCTATGACAGGTTCATCTTACTGACTCAGCCTCTGCTATCTGATTATTGCCATTGTTATATGTTTTTGTATAGTTGTTGTTTGCTATGAAGTTCCTTGGTCAGTGTCCAAGTTGAAAAAAGCAAACTGTTATTAGGTACCAGGCATTAATTCACTAGCATGGCAAGAACTGTCCGAATTATCATTTTAAGATTGGAAAGTACTTTGAATTTGGTATTCTGTAACATGAGCGCAGTTTTTTTTAAAATTTGATTTATATGCCGCCCTTCTCCGGAGACTCAGGACGGCTTACAATGCGTTAAGCAATAGCCTTCATACTTTTGTATATTTATACAAAGTCAGCTTATTGCCCCCACAAACTGGGTCCTCAATTTACCTACCTTAGAAAGGATGGAAGGCTGAGTCAACCTTGAGCCTGGTGAGATTCGAACTTACAGTAATTGCAGACAGCTGGTGTTAATCACAATGCTATCAGTCTGCTGAGCCACCAGGCCCTTTTTCCTCCTCATCCCATCCCGTGTGTTTATTCTGGAACATCAAGCCTAAGGGATCTTTTTTAAAACTTGAAATGATATCACTATTTTATATCTATTTCAGCAGATGACAGCATCTGTGTGATTTAGTATGGGCTTTGGAAATAAGCAGATCAGATTTGGTTAGTATTTTGATGGAAGATAGCCAGGAAATACCAGGGCTGTAGGCTAACCTGGGAGTCAGAACATTATTTAAAAGAAAGCAGTGTCAAACCATTCTTCGGCTGCTGCCAGGAAGACCATATGAATGCATCCATCAAGTCAGATGAGTTGAGCTTTATTTGAGGACGATTGCCCTGTCATGTAAAACTGAATCTAGTTTTTGATTCATAATTCTCATTTGGTATCATTATTGTGGTCTTCTTGCATGCTGTGAGTTTGCTGGTGTTTTCTTGTTCATGTTTCATAGTCATGTTAGCTGGGTGAGTTGGTTGGTTATTTATTTAGTTAGTTAGTTAGTTCAATTTTTATAGCCGCCCATCTCAGTGAATGACGCTGGGCGGCACTGATAATATTACAGGTAGTCCTTGACTTACGGCCACAATTGAGCCCCAAATGTCCGTGGTTAAGCGAGACATTTGTTAAGTGAGTTTTGTCCCATTGTACGAGCTTTCTTGCCACGGTTGTTAAGTGAATCCGGTTTCCCCCTTGACTTTGCTTGTTAGAAAGTTGCAAAAGGGGATCACATGACTTTGGGACACAGCAACGATCATAAGTATGAAGCCGTTGCCAAGCATCTGAATTTTGATCAAATGATCATGGGGTTGCTGCAAAAATTGTAATTGTGAAAAACGGTCATAAGTTACATTTTTCAGTGCCGTTGTAACTTTGAACGGTCACTAAATGAACTTTTGTAAGTCAAGGACTACCTGTAAATGGCATATTCGTGAACCATCTGCAACAAGAAAAGCAAACTCAGAGCACACCAGGAACCCAACAGGTCAACTCTGAGCTATATGCATTTTCCACTATTGCTATCATTACTGCTAGCTAAGGAATGCTAGTAGTTTGATATTTCTTTTTAATTAAGTCTTCCAGTTTGATTTATTTTGAACTGTGATCCTCTGAAACTTGATTAATATGTAGATAGGAACAGGTGTAAAAGGAAATTTAGGAAAACTAAAGTTTAAATATGAAAACGCATTAATTCGGTATTTATTCCATCTGTCTTCCCCACCTCAATTTTCCTCTTGGTAGGCAAAGAAGATTGCAAAAGCAGGACAAGAATTTGCAAGGAACGCCCTCATGGGAGATCATATATTCTGTTATTATTTCAAACTATTTCAGGTCAGTTTTATCTTTCTTTGTTGAATTTGCACTGAAATCTGCTGAGATAGGGGATTAAACAATGGGCCCCACCTTTAAAAATCAGTACTTCATTTTGCTAACGATTATGGGACTATTTGTCTCTATGAGAAAGTGAAACTGCCAAAAGAATAACCTAATTGAAGCCTCTTCTATCCCCAGTAATTTCTGAAAGCAGGGATTGAAAAATAACACATGACAAAAATATGAAAACCCATGTGTGTAAAAACGGATGGAAAAGAATTAACATTACAGCTTTAATGTTAATTTCAGTAACTCTCATTTGAGGGGAAGAATCTTTGCTGAAATATATTGGATCCCTTCCATTATTTACTATTTCAAGTAAGCAGATTAGGCTTCTGTTTTGTTTTCCTTCAGGGTTTCCTAATAAAATGTGATCAGCACTCCTAGGCTTACAAACAAATGGATTTTTGGCTCTGTAGCATTTAAAAGAGTAAAAATTGCTCAGAGGAAGATATTTATTTGATCCTTTTGGAGCTGTTTTTTTTTTTAGAAAACTTCTAGTGGAAAATAATAACAGATTAACAATTTTATTTATTTATCTCTCTTTTTTAATTTTACCCCACTAATTAATTAAGTGTATCTCAACAGTTAGGTAGAACTCCAGAAAGAGTTATTGGACCTCAATAGCAAATAGATATTTAAGAAAAGTGTTGAGTTCTTTTAACTGTGAATGATAGATTATCAGCCTATCCTAGGAATATTATCATTAGAAGTAGTAGAGTCACCTGAGGGTGAAAAATGTTCTCCATCCTTGACTTTAGTTGACATAGTTTTCGCTGAAAGGTCTTCCGGGAAGGCAACAAGTCTTTGTGAGTGGAGGTCTCCATGTCTTTGATGACCTTCATTTATTAATTCCATCAGTCCCCACATTCTGTCCTAAGAGCAAAGACAATATATCTACTTTTCTCCGTCCTCATTTTTATCCTTACAACAATTTTAAGTAGTAGATCAGGTTTCCCGCTCTGTACATTACATTAATGGTTACTTTACAACTCATAAAGAGCAGGATATCACCTGAACTAGACAATTGAATTGTCTAGTTGTACTTTCTAATTGTACTTTCACATTCCATATTTATTATCTCTAACATGGGTTTATTTTATGTGTTAAGGATATTGTTGAGTTACACCCGAAGTTGTGGTTTATAAAGCAGAGTACCGTGAGAGTTTTACGCACGGAAACGTTTTGAGAGTAATTGTGGGTTTTATAGTATTTTACTTTTAGGGAAAAGCAAAATCATAGTCCTTTAACAATCCAAGTCTTAGCCATATAAAGTGCAATATAAGATCAATCCAAGAAGATATAAAATCTTCTTACCAGTGTGTAGAAAAATACAAGGAACAATCAGGAACAATATGAAAATAGTTCAATAAATATCAGAAAGCAGTAAATAAATAATCATGATCAAACAATTGACTATATAGAGAGATCAAAAAGAGTTAGAGCATAGAAGCAGATAAAAATGGTGTAGTGTCCACACTAACCATAATTTAGTTCTCCTTAAATACATTGGCTACAGAGCTCAGCCAATCAGGATGTAGAATGACTCAGCACAATTCTTAAAGCTACATAATACATTCACATAATACAAACATACAATGTTGGCTTATATATTTCCTGGCCAACCAATTAGGCAATAACCATTTCCTAACATTATGGATTCAAAATGTTAAGCATTCAGCTACATTAGAATTGAACACAGACTGTCTAAATCATTGGGAAACTTTTAAAAACACATTAGTAACAGTTTCATTGATAGAATCTGCAAGTGAGCGCCTTGGAAAGGTTATGTCACTCGCCACGTCACGTTGCCATCACATGACATTTTGTGATGTTTTTCCCCCTTGTGGAGCTGGGGTGGGCGTGGTCTGCTTATGACGCATTTGGCCCGGGGGCTGCCAGTTTGACACCCCGGGGTTAAAATTCAAGTAAGTGTTTGCTAAGGATGCATTTGAGCTTCTACAGATCCCTTTCTAAAGAGAGGATGGGCTCTTCAAAACAGCCGTCAGCAAAGATTAAAGAGCTAACTTTAGAAAGCCTCTTCTAAAACACAGACTATGCATTAAAAGAGGTAATGATATTTCAGCAAGTCATCTTATAGTGTTGTGTGATATTGAATCGTAAAGAATCCAAGTTTCCTAAAGCAGTGTGGGCCATTTGTCGCACTAAAACAGCAGTACACAATGTTGATCAGCTCAAGGACCATCCCAGGTTTTGTGTGGTACATTCAGGGCCTATACTGAGAGACTTTTCTGGAATTCTGATGAGTGAAATAGATGCCGGAAGCATCTGGAAGACTTTAGAACCTTGTAAAGCTCCTTAAGCCTTCTCAAATGCATGGAAAGTTTCCAATGTAGAACTGTAGGAGATTCCCCCCCCCCCTTTAACATCAAGTGGTCATTGTTTGAGGGAGCAAGGGAAAAAAAATATTCTTTAATTTTTTTTTCTCATTAGGAATATGCCAAACTACAAGTGAGTGATCCCAAAGTGAGGGATGGCATGGAAAAAGTGGCACAGCCTGATGATGACCTCTTCCCCTGTAATTGCCATCGGACAAAGGTATAGCATGTATAAGTTAATATTTTAGGAGTTGATTGTTGAGTATTCTGACCTGAAGTTAATGAGAACATTGTTATTGTCACTCAGGCTCTTAGCTTTGTAACACAAATGTTGCAGTGCCAAAATGGAATTTTTATCATGTACCAGGAGGGAGGGAAATAAAGATTCTAATACATCTAAATTAAATCTTAAGATATAAGCTAAAACCTGCCAGGTCAAGGAGAGGAATGGTTTGTGTATTCAGAAAAACTAGAATTAAAGGTATTCTACATGAAGAAACTATATTATCTGATCCTTTACTTATTTGAAACTTGTTTTCAAAATGCAAGGCTGCAACTAGAGTCAAAATGCATTCCTTTAAATATCTATTACTCCCTAATTAAATTGTATTTCCAAGATGAGCTGGAGGTGTAATTAAATTTGTAATTTAATTAACAAATTAAAAACAGAGACAAAAGCAATTTAAATGGGGAATTGCAATATTTTTCTCCAAATATCTTTTGTAAAAGGAGATTTATGAGTCTTAAGGGGCTTTTTTTAAAAAAATATTTCCTTAATGTTCTAAGGATTGCCTTTACATACCACAGCTTATAAGACCTATATTATCACTTGAGGACATTGCTATGGTCCCATAAAGCTACTCCAATTGATATGAACAAGCATTGCACTCTTAAGTTTTTTCCTCATCTTGATATCTACATGTCCCAGATACTACCTACAAGGAAGCCATTCCTTCCTTTGAAGACAGTTTCAGATTGAGTAGAAGCAGATATTTCTCAATACTTCCTTCTTAGATTAAAGGGGAAGGTGTAAGTAAAAGAGAGCATATAAAAAATCAAAAAGCAGAACTGTTTTCAAATTAGACTCTTACCATGAAGGTGACCTGTGAAGGAGGAGAAGTTGGCATCAGGAAGACTGAAGCTCAGGATGATTTGGAAATTGTTGTTGCTACCTGTTCATATGTTCACAGCTGAACAGACAGTAAGGAAGGCCACAGAATCACAGAATGTAATGGAGCCTAGAGATCATCTAGCCTAATTCAATCACCAGTGTGGAAGTCCCCAAAGATGTCTAAACAGACCCTCCTTAAAGACCCTCAAGGAAAGAGAAGCCACTGCTTCCCAAGAGTTTGTGCCAGCTTTCGCAAATATGCTAATTCCATAATAGCAATAGAACTTAGACTTCTATACCGCTTTACAGTGCTTTACAGCCCTCTCTAAGCGGTGTACAGAGTCAGCATATTGCCCCCAAGAATTTGAGTCCTCATTTTATCCACCTCAGATGGATGGAAGGCTGAGTCAACCTTGAGCCTGGTAAGATTTAAACTGCCAAATTGCAGGCAGCCAACAGGCAGCAGAAGTAGCCTGCAGTACTACATTCTAACCCAGTGATGGCTAACCTTTTTGCCGTCGTGTGCCAAAAGTGGGGGGAGCGCAGGGAGATTGCCCACATGCGTGCCCATACCCATAGTTCAATGCACCCCGCACCCGCGCCTCCCTCCTCCCCGCTTTTAGCATGTGATGGCACAGTGGGCCCGGTAGGCCCGTTTTTCACCCTCCTCAGGCTCCAGAGGCTTTCTAGAAGCCTGGGGAGGGCGAAAACAGCCTTCCCCACCCCCCCACCCCCCGGAGGCCCTCCAGAGGCCGGAAACAGCCCATTTCCCAACTTCCAGTGGGACCGGAAGGCCCAAAAATCAGCTGGCCAGCGCACATATGCGCGCTGCAGCTGAGCTATGGCAATGCTCGTGTGCCCACTGATATGGCTCCATGTGCCACCTGTGGCACACGTGCCATAGGTTCGCCATCACAGTTCTAACCACTGCGCTACCAAGGCTCTTAATCATAATCCTGTACCCAATTATTCCTGAAACACCAAATCTTCTTGTAGACAGCCTTGACTCTCACAGATCACCCACACACTATTTAGATAAATTAAAATGCAATATATTCCAGATGCTTGGAATAACCATAGGCCATCAAAATCCATTACTGGAAAATATCTATTAACTACAAAGGGAAATGGCATAAAAGAATAAGGTATTTAAAACACATACGAAGTTCAATAATTCTATGTTATAAGCTTTGATGCCCAAGTTTCATCTTACTTGCAGGTCAAAGAAGAACTCTGATGAGACAGAGGAAAACTCGTGGCTGGATATATTTACCTAATCACCTTCCAAGGGTAATAAGTTACTAAGAGTGAAATCATCTGGATGCCCTCTTTTGTGCAGTATTAATACAACGTTGCTTTTTATAAGTTCTTTTTTTAAAAAAAATAAAATAAAATAAATATTCTTTCCATAAATTTATAGTCACTTTTATTTGAAGACAAAGTTTGAACACCCTTTCTATTAATTATAAATTTATTTCAAAACAGCTAGCATATAATAACTCACCTTTTAAATCTCTATTGGTAAAATATTTCTCAGCATGGTGAAGCTGTATGGATGTCACTTAGAGCAGGGCTCCCCAATCTCCGGCCCGTGGACTGCTACCGGTCCGTGCTCCGTTGGAAACCCGGCCGTGCAATCAGCGGGCGAGCACACAAAGCTCCATAAGCACATTCATGAAATTAAATTGCATGCATGAACCCCTCCCCCCCTCGCTGCCACCACCCAGCGCTGACGCTGCTGGTCTCCAGAGTCAGAAAGGTTGGGGACAGCTGACTTAGAGCTCAATTTGGGCACAACAAATTTCATTTTAAAGCATATCTGGCTCAAATAACAAACCATGGAGGGCCTTTATATCATTGTGTCTACTATCTTAACCATTGGTGTTGGAGAGTGTGTGTACGTAAGTGTTCCTTCAAAATCAGTTTTGACTCCCGGAGACTGCATGGACAAGTACCTATAATTTTGCTGCATACAGCATGGATTTGTTATAACCATACAGAGTCACTAGCTCTTAGATGATTTGTGACTGCCCCAAAATTCAAGTATGGATAATTGAGAAAAAGGAAAAAATAAATTGCTGTAAAGGTTAGATTTAAAACTTCAAGAACATATCAATAAATGTTTTAACACTGTGCCCCCATATGATTAATATGATTTTTGATCAATGTGATTAGAGGGCATTGCTTTGCTATTTTAGGCACAAGAGGAGTGTTACAAGAAGTGTAGCACACTAAAATTATGATGCTTTATTTTTTCTTGTGAAGTTTTTCCCAAAGGGAAGCAATGGCATAAATGATATGTATGATGTACCAGGGGTGGGTTCTAAATTTTTTTTACTACCGGTCGGTGGGCGTGACTTATTTTGTGGGCGTGGTTTGATGGTCATGTGACAATTCTTTAGGATTTAGCAGAGGTACTGGTCTACCAGGCTTTAACTGCTGCAGAGCTGTACCAGTCTACCCATTTGTTCTTGGAGCATTCCGGTCTACCCATTTGTTTTTGGAGGCACCAGTCTACCCATTTGTTTTTGGAGCATTCTGGTCTACCTATTTGTTTTTCGAGCACACTAGTCTACCACCACACTGCCTTTTAACACTGATCAGCTGTAGGGTGGCCCTTTGAAGCCCTGCGGCAAGAGTTTAAACAGTTTTTTTTTTCCTTCTAGCTGATCAGCTGGGACTCGGGGGGCAGCGAATAGATTGGGGGCGGGGCCAAATAAAAGGTAATAACGCGGGGGAGGCAGGAGAGCCCAGCTCCCGAACAAGGAGAACCAGTTCGGTGACGTCATATCATCACCGCTACTGGCTCGGCCGAACCGGGAGGAACCCACCACTGCGATGTACATTAGAAAAAGTAATAAACACAGAAAAGTTTACTTCAGAAATTGCTATCTAATATAAATTACATCTATTTTAGGCTTTTGTCAAAATACCACTCTTGGATTCCTTGTCTGCAAATCCTATTCAGCAGTTAACTGCTTATAATATGCCGCATACCCTGGTCACATGATCAGAATTCAGATGCTTGACAAGTGGTTCATATTTATGATAGTTGCATTGTCCCATGGGTCATGTGATCAGCTTTTGTGACCACCTAACAAGCAAAATCAATGGGAAATCCAGATTCACTTAACAACCATGTTACTAACTTAACAACTGCAGTGATTCACTTAACAACTATGGCAAGAAAAGTCGTAAAATGGGACAAACTCACTTAACAAATGTTTCACGTAGCAACATAAATTTTTGTGAATTATTACATTTCAGAATTTTAACAATCAGCTTTACAGTTCTGTATACAACTGCCAGAAGATAAAAACAAACAAACAATAAGAATCTGGCCTTTTAGAAAACTCATACCTATTAGGGCATAGGACATTTTTAGAATCCGTTTCATCGAAGTTACCTCAGTGGAAAACATAGCTAAATCCTACAGTGTTTGATAAGACTTGTCAGACAAAAGGGTATAGAGCTGCAGCTTTGCACGGTATACCTGACAATATATTCCTACAGTCCTAACATATCTCTGCATGGTCACTCATTTTCTTTTTATACTCTTGCAAACTAGTGATCCAGAAAGTCTGACTGTAAATCACTGCAATAAAAAGAATCAGATGTTAACAATGCAAGAATGGATTGTTCCTTGCATGAACAAATATGGCCATGTGCTCTGTTGCTTAACCCCAAATGACTGAATGCTAAACTTATTTTGTATTTGTTGCAATATTTTCAGGATCAGACTCAATAAAGATAATAGGAGTTAGAGCTTTAAATATATTTCTTTTTAATTATGATAGGCATTCTATATTCACTGAATATTCAAGGTAGAAGCGACGAGAATGGTGAGGGTGGCTCCTTATATATACAAGGGGTGGAGCTAGGAATGGGAGTGGTAAGTTATGAATACATTAAAGTCCAAAGAATAAGTTAACCTCTAATGTTCCATATATACATTATTTACACATTGGAGAATAAGGCATTTACATCTGACAAATCCCCCTCTAAATGCCGGTTCGTTACACAACACACCAATTACATTCTGATTCAGGACAATATAATACATATAATTTAGAAGTTAAATATTTGTGTTGTTTAGAAGGTAAGGGTTTTGTTAATATGTCAGCTAATTGTTCAGAAGTATCGCAATGTATTGCTTTAATGAATCCGTCTTGAGACAGTTGTCTCACATGCTTAAACTTTATATCAATATGCCTGGACCTTTGTCCAATTGCATCGGATCTGGATATTTCAATGGCCGCTTTATTGTCTTCATGCATAATAAATGGTAAGGTGGGTTTCTTCCAAACATCAGTGATCAGATCATTGAACCATACAAGGTTATTTGCAGCCTTGGACAAACAAACATATTCCGCTTCTGTAGTAGAAGTGGCTACTAGTTCTTGTTTACCAGTATACCAGTAAACTGGACAATCATTCAATAGAAAAACATAACCAGAAGTACTCTTTCTGCATGATGTATCACCAGCCCAATCTGCATCAGCATAACAAGTAATTTTTGGTTCTCTGTCATTATTGGGTTCCAACATTAAACAAAAATCTAATGTACCCTTCAGATATCTTAGAATTCTTTTGACAGCTTCCCAATGATACAAGGTTGGTTTACTAACATATCTTGACAATAGATTGAGAGGTAATGCAATATCTGGCCTAGTCCAATTAGATATATAAAGGAGTGAACCTATAACTGATCTGTAAAATGTGTTGTCTTTAAACTCAGGGGAAGATTCATCAGTGTTTCTAAGAAAATCAGTTTGCATAGGGGTGTCACAGGTTTTGGCATTATTTAAGTTACATTTGTTTAGGAGTTCGATGATTTTATCTTTCTGTGTAAGTTTGAATCCCCTTTTAGTTTTGTTAATTTGCACACCAAGGTATTTATTCACTTTACCCAGAGATTTCAGTGAGAAGTGTTCATTTAACTTATTTACAAAGATTTCCCTGCTCTCTTTATGCTTTCCAATGTATAAAATATCGTCCACGTAAATTAATACAAATTCAATATGATCATTACTCTTTTTTACAAAGAAACAGTTATCAGCAGTGGTGGCGTTGAAATCCATGGTCTTAAGTACTTTTACCAAGCAATCGTACCATCTTTTGCCGGATTGCTTTAATCCGTACAGACTCTTATTTAATAACCAAATTTCGTTCTTATTAGTGTATTGACTGTGTGGTGCTCTTACATATATTTCCTTATCTAATTTTGCATGTAAGTATGCGGTCTGTATGTCATATTGGAATACGTCCAGATTGAGTGCAGATGCTACTACAAGGGCTGTTTTGACACTCTCTGTTCTCACTGTGGGTGAATATGTATCAGTATAGTCTTCTGGATATTTTTGTGCATAGCCTTGTGCAACTAGTCTAGCCTTGTATAAGGTATTGCCTCCTTCTAAGTTCTTAATTTTATAAATCCACCTGGTACCTATAATTGTTTTATCCTTAGGTGCGATCGCAGGTGTGAATACATTTAATCCTTGTAAACTTTCCATCTCTTTTTCCATAGCTAGTTCCCATTTTTCTCTTTCTTCATGTGGAAGTTTCAATACTTCTTCATATGTATTAGGTGTTATTTGTTCTCCATTCATATGCATTATGTAATCTTTGTATTTATTTGGTATTTGGTTTCTATTGTTTCTAATAGTTCTTTCAGGCTTGCTATGGTTATCATGCAAATATCTAGCTTCCTTTTTTGTTAATGTGTCTGTCTTTATTTTATGCTGACTATTAGTCCAAGTTTTGGTTTTGTTCTTACTTTTGTTAATATTTTGATTTTCTGTTGTTCCTTCCTCGCAAGATATCGTATCTTTACATTTATTAGGAAATATTTCATTAAGGTGCAATTTTGACCAATTGGCCTGTTCATGGAACACAGCTGTTCTGGATACTATAAATTTGTTATTACTATCAATAAATCTGTACCCTTTGGTTCCAGTTTCGTATCCCATGAATCTTAATCTCCTGGATACGTTTTCTCCCTTTCTCCTCAATTGTTTAGGTATGTGTACGTCTGCAGTGACTCCAAATATGTGCATGTGTGATAATTTGGGTTTTCTATTGTACATCACCTCATATGGTGTCTTATTCACAATACTGGACCAGGTTCTATTTTGAGTGTAATTCGAATAATGTAATGCCTCTGACCAAAATTGTTTGCCTAAACCAGCATCCTCTAATGTGCACCTAATCATGGTTTGTAGTGTGGAATTTTTCCTCTCTGCAACTCCATTTTGAAATGCAGAAAAAGGATTGGACGTGAAATGTAACATTCCTCTATCCTTTAACCATTGGGAGAATTCTTTAGACATGAACTCACATCCCCTATCTGTCATAATTTGCTTTATTCTGATATTATGTTGTGTTTCTATACGTTTGTAGAATTCCTTAAATTTCTGAAATGTTTCATCCTTGTGCTTTAATGTGTAAACAAAACCATATCGGCTGTAGTCATCCACTATTGTTAGGAAGTAACGTTTTCTATAGGTAATTGAGGGACTTAATGGACCAACTAAGTCCATATGTACCAAATCAAAAATATTGTTAGTTGATCTGTTAGATTTTTTTGGTCTGGGACTGGTTTTTAGTTTGGTGGACTTACATACTGAGCATTCCAAATAATTTTCACAATTTTTTATTTTGACACCTTCTGCGTGTTCAGTCA